CTTTCATACGCCACGACTCGGTTCGCTGCACTGGGCGCGGGTAAACGACGGGAGTAGATGTGCCTCTCTTAATAAGGGCCGTAACGCGGTTGACAACAACGCCTCGGGCTGAGGCGCGGGTGCCGCATATCTGATTCTTTCATACGCCACGACTCGGTTCGCTGCACTGGGCGCGGGTAAACGACGGGAGTAGATGTGCCTCTCTTAATAAAGAGCCGTAACGCGGTTGACAACGCCTCGGGCTGAGGCGCGGGTGCCGCATATCTGATTCTTTCATACGCCACGACTCGGTTCGCTGCACTGGGCGCGGGTAAACGACGGGAGTAGATGTGCCTCTCTTAATAAGGGCCGTAACGCGGTTGACAACAACGCCTCGGGCTGAGGCGCGGGTGCCGCATATCTGATTCTTTGATACGCCACGACTCGGTTCGCTGCACTGGGCGCGGGTAAACGACGGGAGTAGATGTGCCTCTCTTAATAACGGGTGTGACGCGATAGAGCGCGCCTCGGTGAGCGACGCGGATGCGGCATATACGGGATGTCCGCGAAGTTGGGGTTTTCCTTTTCAGAAACAACTACCCTTGAAATAACAAAGGTAATGTGTAGTGAAACGACAACGACCGAGTAAATAAAAAAATATTGGTGAAATTACTCTCTCTCCAGTTGACCAGAAGGGCTAAGTACGTCTCTGCCAGAAATCATACCGCTCCAACAGAAAATGAAATCAGCTGATGCGCTACCGAGCAGACGTAGGCTAACAAGGAAGGTAAAATGTTGCGTAAATAGTCTAGGTATTGCATCCCGTCCAATCGATTTGGGAGAATAAATTGTCCAATGAGCATACCGTTCACCATGCCAGCCCTATCATTCACCGAAAATGTTTGTTGAAAATGTGCCCGACGCGTGAACATAGATTCGTCTGTCACACGAATATGCACTTCAAAGAGTCCGGATTATTGTCATGTTGATGCAACAACTACTCACAAAACCGCACTCTTGCTGGAAAATCGTCAGGTTGAAGGGCTTGTACACGTTAGACGTGAAACGGATACAGCCCCTCTTCACGCAGCGCTTGCCACACTTTAGTTTTTGATACTTGCACTTCTCTAGCCACGTCTCTAGTGCTCGTTGTTTTTTATTGAAACGCAATCGATTATACCGGTTCGTTTACCTCTACGCGCGTGACCGTGACCGTCGGTTGCAGGTTGCATACCGACCTGACACACTGACCCCGACCACCCAGTTCTGTCGTCGGGTTGTTCTAGTACCAGTCGGGGATGTCGCGGCTACAGGACGGTTTTCAGATACTTTTGATGTTGCAGCAACCGCGGGTTCTCCTAGTCTCCTAGTCAAGGTTCCAACTAGCGGGTGCCAACTGGGACCTTGGTCTAGGGTACCTGGTTCTGCGGTTGCGATGCCTCTCGTCCGGATCGTAGTTCATGAGGAATCGTAGCTGCTCGTTAGGGTGGTCCTGAGCTTTCTGGAAGGTCTTCTCCGCTTTTTTCCTCATGTACTCGTGAATGGTGTCCCAATGCAGGTCTCTACGCAAGGTTGAGTTTCTTACGTAGGATGGATCGGTTGGTGGCGATCCGGAGTAGCTTCATCTCTAGAGCAGCGTACCCCCAGACCGCGGAGGCGTAAGCGAGCTGAGGTCTGGCGATGGCCTTGATCAGCCGTAGCTTGGTCGCTAGCGGCATCCGGCTGTGTCTACCCAGTATTGGGTAGAGTTGAGCCATGGCTGCTCTGGTCTTTGCGATGACAGCTTCTATGTGTGGTCTTTCCAGGTGAGGGACTTGTCAAATACGATCCCCAGATATTTGACCTTGTCGCTCCACTGGATATCTTCGTCGATGATGGATGCTTCGAGAGGGCTTGCAATCCTTCTTCGTTGGATGAAGATTGCCTGCGTCTTCTGGACGTTGATACGGATTTTCCATTTCACGCAACAGTCCAGTTCATCCTGTAGTCTGCTACGGATAATCTCGGGTCGTCGATGCTTAGCGGCGATAGCAATGTCATCTGCATATAGGGCCAGCATTGTGTGAGCTGTCTTCGGTACGTCATGAGTATAGATGTTGTAGAGCAGGGGGGACTGAGGCTGACTCCTGGAGCACGCCTGCTACCAGCTGTCGTCGTGTTGAATGGCATGTACCAATCCTCACCGCGAACCGTCTTTGTGTTAGATAGCTCTGGATCAGTTGGCACATGTTTGCATCGGCGGTCCTGGCTGCTCTAGGACTCGTTCTTGGTGGCGGCAGCTGGCATCTTTGGCTGCCTTGGCGTCTCGTCTTCGGAGGAGGAAATTCGCACCCGCTTTTTTTTTTCCGTCTGGTGGCGACACTGAAATCGGTGTCGTCGTTGCTTGCTGTCTCTGTCGTGGTCCTATCCTCTTCGGTCCGTTGGGTGTCCTCTTCTTGAGCGTCCATCTCGTCCGACGTAGCCTGGTGGTCCTCTGCCTCGCCTTCTTCGGTCTTCTTTGCGGCCTTCTTCGTGGCCCTGC